CAAACTTTCAATGGTCTGTCACTCGTGGTTGCCATGGAAACCACAATTTTTGCTGAGAAAATCCTCTGTACCTGTACATAATATAGAATGTGGATTATTTTTCAAATCAACAGATATCAGAACATTTTAGCACTCTTAAAATCACCAGGGCTGTCCAAACATTTGTTTAAAGAGAAAGAATATTGCAATTTATATGACTGGTAAGTGTCAAAGACCATACAATTACATAAGTGGTCAAAAGTGGGCGTCGCCCTCATAATAGTAGTTGATTGCCATTCTCTATAAATACAGAGTTTTACTTGACTTTTGAGATACATTTATATTGAATTTCTTTGGTTATACTTAATATCAAGCATTTTTACATCTAAGTGTTATAGTTATTGCATGGGGATACAGGGGGGAGGGGGGAGGGGGGGGTAGTAACAGAATTGGGAGGGGGCAGAGCTTATCAGCCTTAAGTGTAAATCTCATCTACATGGTTCTAGATTTCATAGGGTACAGCTTCTGGGTCTTATTATACTCATCTCAATATATAAGATATAAGAATTTACATGGTTGGTAAGTGTCAAAGACCATAGAATTACACATGTGATCAAAAGTGGGCGTCGCCCTAATCATAGTATATGGTTCATTCTCTATAAATACAGAGTTTAACTTGACTTTTGAAGTCCATTTACTTAAAAAACTCTTTGATTTATACTTAATGTCAAGCATTTCTGGTAAGTTATATATGTACATCTAATTGTAATAGTTATTGTCTGGGGGTGGAGGAGGGGGGGAGAGTAACAGAATTGGAAATGGGCAGAGCTAATAAGCCTTAAATGTAAATCTCATTTATTTAGTTCTGGATTTCAAGGGGTGCATCTTCTGGGTCTTCTTCACTTCTGGGTCTTCTTCATCTCAATATATGGGATATTCCAATTTACATGATTGGTAAGTGTCAAAGACCATACAATTACATAAGTGATCAAAAGTGGGTGTTGCTCTAACAATAGTAGATGATTCATTCTCTATGAATATGGAGTTTCACTTGACTTTAAGATTTATTTTTCAAATTAAAACTTCTTTGATTACATTTAGTATTGTAATATTTATTCCCTGTGGGGGGGGGGCAAGGGGGGTAGTAGCAGAAATGGGAGGGGGCAGAGCCAATGGCCAGTCAGTCTTAAGTATTAATATCATAGTCTGATCATTTTCATTCACCTCCCGATGTTAATATATTAACAATATCATGTCACTACACTTGCAGATTTGAGAGTCATTCAGTTGAGTGCATCTGTATATGGCGCTCCACCTTTGCCTTTTAAAAAGGTGCTATTGCTATTGCCCCTTCTGCATGCCACTTCATCTGTGAATGTGTGAAGTGCTAGGAAGGCTGCATATATGTCAGGGTCTATATTGGAGGAAATACCACTGACATCAGTCTTCATTTGTTTCCAACTCAAATATCCAGCAGCACACTTTGCTGTATTTGCTTTTTGTTTTCATCATCATACAAGAACTAATTCCAATCTTAAGGGACTCGTGTTTTTCTACCTTGAATAGGGCAAGGTGTCCCTCCCCTCTTTCAGGTTCCTTTATAGAATTTTTAATGTAATAATCACATACAAAAACTAATCAATCTGCAATTGTAGAATCTTAAAACAGTCTCCGCCAGATCCAGAAACAAAACTACCTTTCAAGTTGAATTATGGTTCGGGATAGTTGGGGTTTGTTTTCCTTATGACTTGTATACATTTAGAAGTTTTCTTTTTCTTGCTGGGTTCTATTACATATTTTGGTCCTTTTCCTTTGGCACTTGTGGGTACATGTTCATGCATAGGGATGCATTTCTCTGTTCTTGCAAGAAGTCCAGTCAGTGTTCCTAGAGCCCAAGGCACAGGGCTCAATAGGAACTGCAGGAGACATTCTAGGCTAATTTTATGTTCTTAAGCAAGATCGAAGCTGTTCAAAGATGTTTCATTCAGAATGTATTTGTATAAGCTTGTTCTGAGTACTTTTTTACTTTCACTGTAACTGTTGCTGCTGTAGTTTGCTGCTATAGTTTTCAATTTCATATGTTTTATTAGATCATGAAATCTTTTTTTCAACTAATCTCAGATGGTATCTCTTCATGCAATTTCCCCTTAAATTAGATGAGATCTGCAGCGACATCATTTGGCACAGATTTTCCTTATGATACACCGTAGAGATGACCTTCATCCTCAATGGTAAATGGATCAAGGAAGACTTTGATTGCGGTTTTGTCATCTCTATGTCTTCTTCTATACTTGCTATTTGTGCCTTTCCAAGGTCATTATGGGTGTCACACTCATCTCATCTCTAGATAATTTTCCTAAGTTGGTCTAATGAATGACTGTCTGATTGTTGTAACCATCTCATCCATATAAAGCACTTATTGTCTGTATGGCCCATATTGCAAATCCTCGTAGTGAACCACCAGATGGACTTGAATGGAAACTAAATGACTCCATATCTTTCCAGTGGGTATTGACTGATATTCTCATACAAGAGATTGGTGATATAGCAACACCAGGAGATGAATCAGAAAACCCCACAAGATGTACCCTATGAAATCCAGAATTAAAAAGATGAGATTTATACTTAAAGGCAGATTAGATATACACATTCTAATTCTGATACTACTCACCCCTGCCCAAATGTAAAAACTATAATACTTACACAGATGTATTTACCAGAAATGCTTGACATAAATTATAATAACAGCAGTTCAGTATAACTATGAATGTATCTCAAAAGTATCTCAGATGTATTTACCAGAAATGCTTGACATTAATTATAATAACAGCAGTTCAGTATAACTATGAATGTATCTCAAAAGTCAAGTTCAATTTTGTATTTATACAAAGAACCAATCATCTACTATTGTTAGGGTGACACTCCTTTTGATCGTTTATAAATATGTAATTGTATGGTGTTTGACAAATCCTGTAAATTGTAATATCCCATATATTGAGATGAATATGAAGAAGACCCAGACGAGGTGCCCCATGAAATCCAGAACTATGCAGATGAGATTTAAACTTAAGGCTGATTATTACCTCTGCCCCCTCCCAATTCTGTTACTACTCTCCCCCATCCTCCCCCAGGCAAGAACTATTACAATTAGATGTGCATTACTAACCAGAAATGCTTGAAATTAAGTATAATCAAAGAAGTTGTAATGTAAATGTATCTCAAAAGTCAACTTGGACTCTGTATTTATAGAGAATGAATCTTTAAGGGCGACGCCCACTTTTGATCACTTGAGTAATTCTATGGTCTTCATACTTACCAATCATGCAGAATTATAATATCCTATATATTCAGATGAATGTGAAGAAGACCCAGAAGATGAACCCTATGAAATCCAGAACTATGTAGATGAGATTTATACTTAAGGGTGATTAGCTTTGCCCTCTTCCAATTCTGTTACCCCCCCCCCCCATCTACCCCCTCCCCAATGCAATAAGTATAACCCTTACATGTACATTATTTACCAAACATGCTTCATATTTAGTATAACCAAAGAACATCATTATAAATGTATCTCAAAAGTCAAGTAAAACTCTGTATTTTTAGAGAATGGCAATCATCTACTATGATAAGGGCGACGCCCACTTTTGATCACTTATGTAATTGTATGGTCTTTGACACTCCCCAGTTATGTTAATTGCAATATCCTTTATATTTAAATAAATGTTTGAACTGCCCTTGTAATTTTGAAAATGCTAAAATGTTCTGATATCTGTTGATTTGAAAAATAATCCACATTCTATATTATGTACAGGTACAGGTTTTACCAAAATTAAGGATTTTCTCAGCAAAAATTGTGGTTTCCATGGCAACCACGAGTGCCAGATCATTGAAACTTTGCATACTACCTAAAAATGATCTCATCAACTCTCGAAAAATTATGTTGTTGATTGAAGACCAACTGAATGAATTATTCAATGATGATAATGTACCCCCTGTAATTTTCCTTTTTAGGGTCAAAAACCCAATTTTGACAACTTTCGCCCCGGATACGGCGCATCAGACAAAAATTTTCTGAAGTATCACATAAAAATACATAAGAAACAAGTAATTTCAATTTGTTCAGAAGCGGGTACATTTTTCGGTGCTACCTCACTAACTATAATGTTACTTCTATCTGTACATGGATTGTGCAATGGAAAAGCAATGGCACAATCAACAATGTGCATATCAATCGTGAATATCTATCGGTTCAAAGCTTATTTCCAACAGAATCGTGTCAAAATATGTGTCTGAGTAACAGTTATACATTATAAGATCGCAAACTCTTACCAATTATCAGCCGAATGGCTCATTTTCAACGAAATGTCCTTAAGACAACAGCCCTGGGTCGCGCCTGAGACCAAAAACTATTTCAAATAGCCCTCCCCTAAATATATTGGATAATCACATTTATGCGTGCGCGTGCAGCTCATCCACTGAACGAAACGCCACTTCCCGCTGAAATCACCGGGTATTGATCTTTCCCTTGGAAAAACCAGTGCTTCCTTCACTACAAAAATTACATTCTTGTTATAATTCAAAAGTGCTGCCATCTGTTTTGAATAAGGTTGGTTTAAATAAAAGACAACCTGAACATTGATGTATCTCTTAAACAATTGCATGGTGATAAATGATTACTTATAATCATATATATCAGAACCATCTATATTTTTATTAGAGGATAAATTATATACATGTATTCTTTAGATTTCTAGTTGTACAAAGGAATAAGAAGGGATAGGGAGTGAAAAATGTTGTAAGTGTGCAGTCATGTCAGTATTTTCCTTAGAATTTTTTATTTTATTTTATAAAAAAAAGACTTCACATACTGATGAAATATAGAAGTTATTGAAGATTTAAGATGCAAAAATATAAATGTCCTTTATTATGATTGATAACAGGGGATATTTATACAAATGCTCTTAATTTGTCCCTAATTATTCTCATCCTTCAGACTGTTAACAGTAAACTTTATAATCCAGGTACTTAGAGGTCCTACCAGGTGAAATCTGCTGTCCAGATAGCAGTCAAGATAGAGAAGACATTGGCTTTGGGGACACTTGTTGTGGTTCTATTCCCTTCCTGTCATCGGGGGCTCAGATATGTTGTAATGGTAAGTGACTACATATAAGTGAATATGTGAGCATACTCACAATCATATTTATTATTGTGAAATGGATATTAATTCAGATCAATTCGAAATCCATAAACAATATTTTAAGTTCACATTATTTTGATACTTAGGATAGCTTTTCTATAAAATGGACATACAAAAGGAAAATCCAGCAAATCTTTCGTTGAGATTATTTTGATTACATGTACTTCAATATTGACCCAAGAATCATAATATATGCCCAAAGATTTGTGGACATGTATATGTACAGTATGTATCTTTTCCTGTTGTTTTTGTCTCAGGTAAGCTGTATGATAAACACAATCAGCAATGTTGTGGCGACACTGTTCAACCTGCTACCATGATATGCTGCGGTAACTCCACCTATGGTCAAGCATATGCACCACTAGAGGGAGCCAGCTGTTGTGGGGCAGAATACAAGATGGATGATGTATCTGTTTGTTGCAGCGATACACTGGGAAGATCAAAGGTATTGTAAAATTAACTTGAGATAGAGAAACACTTGTCAGTATATATTTAGTCTAGATCAATCAGTTTGTTTAAATGGTGTATGAAGCGGAAAATTCTGACGAATGACATTTTTTCATCAACCATGCATCCTCATTAGGATTCTTGAATCATTTGTGACATTTTTGTCTAACAATACAAGTATTCTATATTGTTATATTGTATACAAGTGCAGTTAAGTCCATTGATATTACAGGTACATACCTACAGTTCAGCAGATGGTAAAGCCAACTCTAATGAAGTATGTTGTAGTCTAGAACGCATCTCAACCAGCCTTAGCTGCTGCAATGGTATGGGGTACAGTGCCTTCACTCAGACATGTGCTGATGTCTCTAATATGGAGCCAGGTATGTTAAAGTTTTCCCATATTGAAAAAATAAGAAATGCATTGGTCATAGAGGCTTTGTTCTTCTTTGTTGTTCATATGCAAGGTTGTTTGACATTTTTTGTATGGGATTTACACTTGTGCATGTGTATTTGTAGATGTGTATCATCAACAGCAGCATTTTGATAATCGTCTGCTAAAAATCATGATGCATTATGGGTAGTGTTTATATTTCCAGCTTGTGGCTCAGGCAGAGTGTGTCCCATCAGCCAACAAGGAACAGCATTCTGTGATAGATGTGACTTTGACAGGACCAGCCACTACTGTGGCTCTGTTCCTGGGTACTACAATACCTCCCCTACCACTCCACCATCAACCCCTGCCCCAGGGACTATGTGCTACACCACACCTGAGAAGCTTTTCACAGGAATGGGATTCAGATTCACTGGTAAAATAAAAACTAAATTAACTAATGTAAATATTAATGTAGTAAAACAGTTTATATTCATGAAGACACAAAAAAAATTATTTTGAAATCCAGATCAAATATTAACTCATGTGCAATTTCACTTTCTGTAATCCAAAATACTTAAATGAATTTAACTCATTGCTGACCAACCCCGAAATATTTTGTCTGACGTCATGATCGTATCTGACCAGCAGAAAACCTCTAAAAATAGCTTTGGGCAGCAATGAGTTAGGAAATGTTTCTTTACAGATGTTTTCTGCTTTATATATTATAATGTATGCATCTAGACCTGTTCAGATGTTCATTTCATACACATTTCAATTAGATACCATAACTTGTACTACCTCGTGAATCATGATGAATGAACACTTTCATGTCTTCCCATTTCAGACACTGGCCTAGTGCCATTCACAAGTTACGAGTACTCAGTAGTTGTATCCAACAGAGCAGGGAGCTCATCTAGTGGCTATACTGAGCAAACTACACTTCAGACTGTACCAGGGGAGGTACTTGCACCCCAGGCTAGAGTTGAACCAGGCATAACTGATACAATACACCTCTCTTGGGAGCCACCTGTCTACCCTAATGGTAATTAAATTTAAATTGCATTTATAGTTCTTTGTTCATTTTACTTTGAACTGAAGTGGAGCAAAAGTATCAAACATGTCATTTTACAAAATGTGGGCATTATTCTTTTGGAATCCAGTTCCATAATTTTTTGCTCTGTTTTGCATTGGGCCATCCTGTAAATGATTTATATCTGCTCATTGCAGAATGTTGTATTCTCTTTCAAATTTAAATATTTATTTGATGCAAGTTTTCATAGAAATATTGATTAATAAACGCTGTATTATTATTAATTTGCAGGTGAGATTACCCACTATATACTGAAGAGAGACAATGTGGAAATATACAGGGGCACCAGACTCACACTGGTGGATAATAACACAATACGCCCTTATCAGATGTATGCATATACACTACAAGCCTGCACAGTGGTTGGTTGTGCTATGAGCCCACTGGTAAGTCATTATACAATGGTTGCACTACACATTGACATATTGCAATCTATTAAGACCCATACATCTGTAATTTCTTCTGATTAAGATATCCTCGTCAATAATTTATCCTTTTTTAAGATGATTTTTATTAGATTTTTTTTATTATTGTCTTCATAATGAGTACATTATAATAATACACTACCAGGGCCAATAATAATTGAAATAATAAATCAAATATTTTGGAAATTTAATCCTCCAGGACCACTCTTAAATTCTCAGCTGTTGTGTCTTTCCCTTATTCCTACTTTTAAATTTTTATAAATATGTACATGTTCTCATTTATAGGTCAAAGTGAGTACCCTCCAAGCAAGACCGGAGAATGTCTCACCACCAGATGTCATTGCAATCAGTCCAACCAGCCTCCTTATCACATGGAATGCCCCAGGACGTGCGAATGGAATCCTCTCCCGCTATATACTTTCTGAGGCTACCTTGGGTGAGATCTACAACAGTGAGGATGTAGACACTCGCAGGTATTGTTATTATACTGTGATAGTTGTAGTACTGTTTAATTCTCATGCATCCATAAAGTAGTTTAATGGCATATAAGTACCTGTAAGTTCCATAAACAGTTGATCTCATCAAAAAGTCTTCTTCATTTTGGAACATCTTTGTCCTCATAATTTGTAGATGAGCCATTACCCCTAAAGTGTTTAGGTCTTCATATCTGTCAATGTTGTTCCACTTAGACTGATTTTCTAAAGTTTAAAAAACACATGTTCATATTCAGTTTATAATGTTTATTTAGAAGAGAAAATTAACTTTATCTAACATTACCTTACAGGTACACGCTAACAGACCTGGATGCCTATGGGCAATATGAACTGATGCTAACAGCTTGTACTGAGGCAGGGTGCCAACATAGTGACAATGTCACCATCAGAACGCAGGAAACTACTCCCCAAGGTAAACAATGTCTACAGTGTATGTCTCTGATCTAGAAATTGAAAACCTTGTGGATACAAGTAATTTTGCAAGTATCAGGCAAAATCAGTTAAATGATGTATTTTTGTAAA